AAGCAGACTCGGCCGGTATGAAAGACCCAGACGTGATGAGTACGTTCTTGTTGGGGAGAACTGGTGAATTCTTTGGTTTGACAAATTTGATCGAGGCCAAGTATTGTCTCTACATATTCCTACACCAGATCCTACAAAGATCATAAAGAAGAAACAGCGTCGCGGCGGCATCTCGGATAACATTCAGTTTCACAAAATGGTGTCGGTAACGTGAAACATAGGAACGCGTGGAAGTAAAAACAGTATGTACGAGATATCGTTGCTATTTTCTGAAATGATCAAACGTCACGACGCCGACGCACGCGAATATGTAGATATTATGGAATATGTGTGGGATACGCGATGGAGGAATTTCGGCGACCCTTGACCTACTAAATGTTGAGGCTGGATGCCGGCCTGTGTATGAAACGTCGTGACGACAATGTGTCGTCGACGCGAGGACGAAACTCACTTCGACGTAACGTCGTTGTTGGGAGAGCGCGTTTTCCTTCTCACGGGAAAGTCGGCGATCAATCCGGGCGCGATGGAATAAAGTCGGGTTGCAAAGGCCGACGCGCGACGGGGCGATTGGAAGCGATCGATGTGAATGGTACGACCATTCGAACGAGCTCCCGACGTCAAAACGAGAACGCTCGCAATATAATGGGATTACCGTAAGATCGCGGGGAGACGGCATGTTCGTTAACTTCGTCGTCGACAAGCTACTACGCTCGTGTCGCGCGACGACCTCAATTAAAGGAGAGTACCGTGCTCGAAAAAAATAGCGACTTCCTGAAAAATTTACAGTCGCACGGAATTACTTGCGCACGGAATGAAAGCACGCGCGGAAATGGAAAAGGAAAAATCAACATCGAAATACCCAGCTGTCAGTCAGCGTGAATATTCTCACCTGATCCCGCAGCATGCGCGTGCGGAATTCTTAACTTCTCATCGGAAGGAATGTGCGGCAAGCATCCTAGGAACGAGATTGTACAACGCAAAATCCTCTCGCAGACGGACATTCGTCCAAGAGCGAACAAACGAACGAGCGAGCGAGCGAGTGCGAGTGCGCGCAATATCGCTCGCCCGTCGCTTCGTTCGTCGTCGGTCGAATCGCACGCCCAGAGTAATTAACCGCGCGCGGTTTCCGCTGCGCGACCTGAAATCTCCTCGAGACAATCGGACCGACGCGGGCGCGGGCGCGCGGAAAAAGGATGCCGCTCCTTTCCCTGCCGCTCGCGCGCCGCGGCCGGCTTGACCTCTGCTAATCCGAAATCAAATCGAGTTTAATTCGCGCTGGAAGAACGGCCGCGTCGATCTCTCTCGATTGGATCAGCGGCAGATAAATCCTCGTTTGTAGGAGACTCGCAGAGCTGCAACCGCGTTCGCGTTCGCGCTCGCTGATAAATCATCATCGCGGGTTACAAAGGGGCTTTGTGCCGGACTCCGTGATGGCGGTAGAACGCGCTCTCGCGCGCGGAAAGAGAGAGAGAGAGAGAGAGAGAGAGAGAGAGAGAGAGAGAGAGAGAGAGAGATGGCGGAGGAAGATTGCGCCGGTGGGACGACGCGAGAGCTCCCGACGAGATGACATTTGAAAATCTCCGCGCGTTGTTTCGGAAAAGCCTCGCTCCGCCGCCGCCGCGCCTCGCGTCGTGTTCGCGGCGATGACCGAAGAGAACAAACAGCGCAAAGATTGGTCGGACCCGGCCGAGCCTGGTATCGATTCGCGCGCACAGTCGTACCCAACCGTGCCAGTGGCCAAGGAGGCTTAAGCACCGTTCACACGGAAACCGCCTGCCTCCCGGCCCCCGGGTTCCTTCAGCCGTTTTATTCGCATTCTGCTCGTATTATATCCAATTACATCACCGTCGGCCATTACGCCGCCGCCGCCGCCGTCGTTTACGTTCCGCGCTGGTTGCAGCGAACGAGGTCAGACTGCGCGCGCACGGCAACGAAAACACGTTGTTAACTTTGTTACACCGCGAAATATTCAGCGGTTGCATTAACGACCGCTAAGCTCGCATGCGTGGCTGCGAGGATGCGTTCTTACGCGACGGCCGAGCGAGGAGAACGCTCGCTTCCGGATGCCGGGGCGATCGGGAGATGGAGCTTGGGACTTCGCGGCGATCGCTGATATCGGAGGAACGGGGCTTTCAATGTTCGAGATTGAGCGATCCGCTGAATCGTTTTGAGATTTAGATCCGACTCGTGAGCATTTTTACACCGCGCCGGATTCCGGGTTTGATATCCGATACCTGAGGCTTCCGTAGTGCGAAGACATTTTCTGGAATCAGGTAATCGGAGGGAGGGAATTCGGGATTTGTGGAATTCTTATGCGAAAACATTCTCTGGAATCGAGTAATCGGGAGGGAATTCTGGGATTCTGGAATTCTTACGCGACGACGGGACGCCGTTCGCGCCTGGGCACTTCCGCGCGCCAAAGATGGAGGGTGAGATTGCTAACGATCGCTGATACCAAAGGAACGTTTAATTTTTGCGACCTGCAAAATCGGGGCTCGGGATCCGCGGAAGTGAAAGCTGATATGTCGGGGAAGGCTCGGGGGCGAGGATTGCTATCTGTTCGAGAATCCGTGGAACTGTGGATCGACAGATGCACGCTTCGAGATACACGCGAAGTTCGAACTTCCAAAGTGAGGTGGAAGTAACAGCTCGCGGAAATCCAAATAAAACCGGAAGAGCCTGGCGGCTCAGGGAAATCCGAGAAAACCTCACCTCCGCGCCGCGAATCCTGCGACGACGCGTGGATCCGAAAAATGACCGAACAGTGAATCTCACAACTGCGTAAGAAAGTGTCCCTCGTGCACCGTGAGAAGAAATAAAAGACAAAAGAATCTTTCAGCGAGAACAAGCCGAGCTAAACGAACTCGCGACTCCCGCGACCTGCACGCGGTGAACTAACTATCCTTTCGGCAAAATTCTCGGCTCCTCTGTTGTTAATCGGTTGTTTGCACAAAACAAGCCGAAAATTTCGTTCAATGGGCCGATCGGGCGGGTCTGGCCCAACAAAACTGACCGACAAAAATTGTCGCTCGTATTTGCCGAGCGATTCGCGCTTAACCTCCCAACCGGAGCTTGAAATCACTCGCGTATCAGGCAGAATTACTCGTATCGAGTCAACCTTCTGCTAGTTAAAAAACAGAGCAATACCTACATCGCGCACACAAAAAGCGTTTCGGTTCCATTAACCTGCCGCCATCGCGGCTAAATGTTGCAACACGAATTCTCACGTCGGACCCGCCGACCCGCCTCTCGATGTTTATTCGATTTGACTGCGATCGCAGTTCGATCGCGACAGAATTCGCCCGAGAATTCCCCTTCACTCCCCCGGTCGTCCTTTTTTTCTATTTACTCTTTTTTTCAGCGTAATCTCCAAAGGATCGCGGCTCGAGTAGCATTCGAGACGAGGGCATTCGCCACACTCGTCATCCTAATTTCCCTTTTTCCCTTTCCGAGCATTCGCTGCTCGACATTCCTCGGGTGAAATGCGATTCTCTCGTGGTCGATACGATCGCCGCGGTTTTATTTTAGAAAGCCGTTCCATGTAGCGCGAGCGGGCGCGAGATGCGAATAAAGGCCTGCGAGTAAAATGAATACGGTTGGGAGGGAGAAGAAAAAAAGAAAATGTTAATGCTTTATGGATTAGGGATTTTACGGCGTCGGTGCGCGCTCGCGTGCGCCGATCCCAGCGCCCTGCCGCATAAATTAATGTTATCTCGGGGGGATTATACCGGGTTGAGAGTAGCGTGCGATGGCATTGCGGCATGATGAAATTTGATGTATTTCTCTCTGTCGACTGATTAGGTATTTTTAAGATTTCGTGACTCGGTGTAATCAACGCGCGAGCGCGCTTTGAACAAATAGAAAAAGGAGCTTTCGCTTGTGCGCGCGCGCGCGAGAGAGAGAGAGAGAGAGAGAGAGAGAGGGCGACGCCGGAGTTGCCAATAAAATGATCGCGCGACGATTTTAATAATCGCCGTTTTAACTTTCGCCGCGGAGCCGGCCAATGCGTAAAATGATTCATCTCGCGTGCAGATTTTATTTTAATTTAAAACGTTGTTATACACCGATATACACGTATCTAAATGCGCGATCCGTGTCACGCGTCGCGGTCGACCGTGATAATTATCAAAATAGATTATTAACTATTTTCGCGCAATACTGCGCGAGACGTAACTGGATATTCGTCGTTTTTTTTATAAACAGGAAATATCTAGTTAGATATATGTGTCGTCGCGATGATGCATTTGAGAATTTTCGGATGTCGACCGTGAGACGATTAGACCGACTAGACTGGAGGGGGCGGGGGGGAAGCCCGACTTTCGACAACTCGTGATCCACGAAACAACCGTTTCGCCGGGCTTGCGGGAAGTTTACGCGAGACGAGTGATGTGAGACATTATCGATATTCAATGTGCCGCACGGATCTCGCCGTCAGCAAAAGCGGGGTCGATGAAGAATCGACAGGCGCGAATAGCCGGAAGCGTACAAAATCACGTGAAATCCCTCGCGGCGCGAGAATTCGATCGAAACTCGCGGTCGAACCCGACCAACTTTTCCCATTCGTTTTTTCCCCCGAGAGTATTCGCATTTGAGAGAGAGAGAGAGAGAGAGAGAGAGAGAGAGAGAGAGAAAGAGAGAGAAGGAGGGAGGGAGAAGGGGGAGAGGGGGAGTAGAGCGAAAGCGAAGGTATTTCGCCACTCCCCACGTAATTGATTCGGAATTTTCTCGAAACGTACAGCTGGAAATTCGCTGGAGAAAAGCCGAGATCCAATTTTATCTCTCCTTCGTCTCGTCGAGTGCATGAAGAAACGCCGTACAACCGAAACAACATCGAGCTCTCGCCGCACATCGGCGTTCGCGCGAAATCTAGGGCAGGATTTACCCCGCACCCGTTAAAAGCCACCGATGCGCTTTTCCGAATGGAACGTTAAAGAGTAAACGCGCGCGCGCGTTAAAATCGTAACTCGTCGGTGAGACGTCCCGCCAATTTGGCAACTTACCGACGCTGTTTTCCCATTTTTACTCGTGACTTTTAACAGCGATCCCTCGTACCCCTGCAACAGAAAAGAAGAAACTCCACGTTATTATCGCAGCCGCCATCGTGTAAAATAAATCGTCGAATTGAAAATGCTGACTGATTCTACACGAACTTTCCGCTCGCAATTTCGCCACGTAGGATGGAGGGTTCCCTCTCTCTGTGTGGCCTTAATTGTTCGCGCACCTCCGGGAAGACGATAACTGGCCGATATCTGATGTGCTATGTATACTTTGCTCTTAATTTCCAAGTGCTAAATTGCAATCCAGGAACGACTGCTCATTCTTCTCCTCCTTTCCCCTCGGGAAACCAGGGAGATCTTAATTGACCGGCTTTAAAATTTGTTTCTAAATTAGTAACAGTTAACAACACATTTTTCCGATAGTTTGAGCACTTTATTATCGTCATCGTTATAATTATTATCACGAGAGCATTTTTAGATTTTTTGCTATTGCTATTATAATTACCATCTCTTTTCTCTTTCTCGAGAAATCTTTTTCACCCGCTGCTTACTTTGTCTTCTCTTTCTTTCTCCCCGCATTTATATGTGTTTAAGAGGATAATGCTTTCCTACTTAAATAAATAAATAAATAAATCTTCTTTACGGAGGATAACAGGATAATACACAAATCTCAGGAATAAATCCTAGCGTTAGGAATTCAGAGACGTGCGTTCATTCTAGAATTATCGTCGACTTGAACTCGACGGCGCGACGTAACGCGCAGACACCTCTCCAGGAGTAATGATCACGCCATTCATCGTGCGTCCATATTTCACGCGTCGCATCGTCATGCCGGCTCTTATCGGGCGCAAATGAAATTGAGTTTCTAACGAACGTGAAATCGATTTACACGCACGCACGCGTTTCAATCGTTACCATATATACCAGCAGCGAGTCGCGCTGATCGGGCAAGGTGATCGTCGTCACATCGTCGTTATGTGAACAGGTGCGAGAGGCGAGTGTCACCTAGCGTCTTAAACACGCGAGAGAGTCTGGAAACGCCGGAAACCGCCAAAGCGAGGCGAAATTGCGGCCGCGCAGCGGTTCGTTATGGAAGGTAAAGCTCGTCTTGAATCTTTCTCTTAATTACTCCTCGCACGCGCGAAAGGCACGGCAAGCGAGTGACCGTAGCGCGACTTACAGTTACATACAGTGAGCACAATACCTCCGTTACGCAACCGGGTTATGAAATGTTATATGTAACATACACACACACACGCACACACACACAGACACGCAGCAGACACACATACACGTGTCGCAACAGTACGGTTCAAGTCGACTCGGTGACAGCGACCGGGGCTGGAAATGTTTCAGCACATCCGACGCTCCGGATTCTCTATCTACATATTTCCGAGATATCGTCGAGAATTCGACGCTAATTGAATGAACGTCGAGCGCGTGACGATTGAAGAAGCATGCATACAAATATACGCGTATCCGGGCGCTTATGAATACGAAAGCTCGGAGGCGCGGAACGGGATAAGCGGGTATGTAGAATAATATACGAAGGAGGGGGAGTAAATCGAGTGACAGCGCGAGAACGTACATCATTTCTCTTGTCTTTCGTATTCTTAGCTTATTCTCGATCTCCAACGCGAAGCGTTTTCTCGCGAGGAGTAACGGAGAAGTCGCACGCGCGCGCGCGCGCGCGCGCGCGAAGCGTCTCCGTCTTCGTCTTCGCCGGCACGTTCAATCAACGTAAGCTCTCGGCGAGCTTACGGATGATACACGATGTGATCCAGCTTTTTATTTTGAGAAAACCGTTTGGAAAATATAGCACGCGCGCGCGATACAACACTTGGCCAAAAGGCGTCGGCAGCAGCGACGGCATCCGTTAGCAACGGAATTTACGGAGCCCATTAAAAATAGCGGAGAGCAGCCGAGAAGTGGAGCAAGACATTCGGATATTTTATTAAGGATCTGACACAAATTCTAAGGTACCCGCGAATTTCTCGCCGACGACCGCTTGAATTATCAAACGCGATCCGTCGCGCGAGTGTGTGTGTATATGTGTGTGTGTGTGTGTGTGTGTGTGTGTGTGTGTGTGTGTGTGTGTGTGTGTGTGTGTGCGTGTGCGTGTGCGTGCGTGCGTGCGCGTGTGTGTGGTGCGTGTGTGTGTGTGTGTGTGTGTGTGCGTGTGCGTGTGCGTGTTTGTGTATTTCTGTGTGCCTGTGTCTGTGCGTTTTCACGCGCATATCGTACTGTGTACGTGCCTTGCACATGTGCACTCCTTCGTGTGCACCCGCTCGGTCTCGCTCGGTTCCGCGCTGACGCGTGGAAAAGGCGATTATTAGACGTGTAAGAGGCTTTTTAATTCGCCACGAGCTTAATGTGTAATGCCTCGTTATTGCGCTATCAAGAATCTCCGACGTTTCGCGTTAACGCGAGAGAAATAGAGGACTTCTCTCTCGCGGTGGAGAAACGTTTTCTTGGTTTCCTCTTTTCTCTCTCTCTCTCTCTCTCTCTCTCTCTCTCTCTCTCTCTCTCTCTCTCTCTCTCTCTCTCTCTTTACGACAGCGACGCAAGTGGAACGCGCGCGCGAGATGAGCACTCGGTTACACGCGGACGCCGTAACGTCGGAGCTCATTACCGGAGTACCAAACTGTTAATAATCGCGCGATTGCGATGGAAGTGCTAATTAGCGAAGCCGCAATTAGAGAGAGCGCCGTAAGTCTCGGAACGTTTATCCGCGGCGAGCGCCGCCCCTTGTTACTCGAACTCGAGTGACGCGCGAGCGTGCCCCGAAATGCTTCGCGCTCGCGTCTCGCGTGATTCACCGTCGTGATGCCCGCGATGTGAAAATTCAGCGGTAATGATCGATCCGATCTGTCCCGGCGGCAGTTAATCGAGCCTGCGCGTTTGGCAGCTTCGACGAATATTGCACGCGGATTTGAAGCTCGTACAAGGAGAACGTCCGCGAGGGGACGTCCGCTCGTCTGAGGAAGCGAAGCGGTCTGAGGAGAAAGAGGTGACGAAGCGCACGTCGTTGGAAGAATAAATCGCGAGCTCTGAGCGATTTTCGCCAGTTAACGTCCGAAACGTCGCCCGAGAACCGCGTACGCTTAGGATCGGCGCGGCTCGGCTCGGCGTGCAGAATTTCTCAGGTATCCGTTACAACATTCTTGGCGGCCGCGCGCTTCTTAATCTCACGTCATTAATCAAGATCCACGAGCTACGAAGCGCCCCCGCTCGGGATCCCTGCGCATTGTCAATTAAGACACGGCGGAATCGAGAAACCCGGGAGGCCTCTCTCGCGCGCGTGCGTCGTTTCGAACGATGCGGGAGAAAACCGCGCGAAAGTCCCGGTGCTCTTCGCATTTCCGGCGAACAACGGCTCGACGATCGATCGCAAGTGGCTCCTTATCGACCAATTAACGCTACGTAATTGCCAAACATGGGACTTTCGTTCGTCCAAAATGAACAGAAATACAGCAGGCTATGCGTGAAAGATCGACGATGCGCCTCTCGTTATCGACATCGGTCGGTTACATTCTTGGCACTCGGCTCGAGCGCGTGAGAGAGAAGAGGCGGAGAGAGAGAGAGAGAGAGAGAGAGAGAGATCCCGCGTTATTAATTAACTCCTCTTAACTATGAAATATCACGGCCATTAAAAAGCCAAGCAGCCAGCCAGCCGGCCGTCCTCGGAGGATGCATAAAGCGAGAGCTTTCGTCGTCACGCAAACGTGCCTGCGTGCACGCACGCACGCACGCACGCAGGCACGCACGCACGCGTGCATGCGCTCATTGCGAAGCTCATGCTCACCGGGAATAGCAGAGGTGGCGGGTCATCCGCGCGAAAATGTCGCGCGTCGGCGGCTCTTCCGGTACGCAGAAAATTCGTCGTAAATCTGCGCGGGAAAACGGGTCGCGCGACGCATTACGTGTGCTTCCCGCGTTACGACGATGTACCGAAGACGATTGATAAACGGATTTGCGATTCGTAACGAGCGTGAGCGTGAGCGTGAGCGAGGTGATTTGCAGGCGAAAATAACGCGCACCCGCGCCTCTCTCTCAAGGTTTATTGTCCCGCGATATTTCGCCAGCTCGCGTTGGCGTGCTGATGCCAAGAAGCCGCGCGCGTGTTCTCCTTTCTCTCTTTCTCCGTCGCTTTTGATGCACAGAAAGACCGCCGCGAGAAGCCTCCATGCGCGAGAGACCACCGTCTCGCCGGTGTACATCACACCGCCGCCCACACTGATCCGCCGTCGCGATGCGTCGCGGAAAATCGGCCGCGTTTCCGCGTACGCGACGCGACGCGGGCCGCATCGTGACCCGATTTTAGAGCTTCGCCCGTCGTCCCGAATGTAATGTAATATAATATATAGGGTGTCTGATGACGACACACACACATATACATAATATTCGCGTCAAGGAAAAACTCTCGTACGTCATCTTGCGCAAACAACTATGTAAAATCATTGATTAAGGGAGGTGCGTGAACTTGCGCGATGTGACTAATGAACTGTGCTGGCAACGTCTGCCGTCGCAAATTAGGCGAAGCTGAATAAGAAAATCCTCTAGCGTTTCGTAATAATCCATTTCTTTGATTAATAATTCGAAATTTCATGCGGTTGTCCGCAAAATGGTAAAAGAATTTTTTGCTCATTTTGAGCTAAGTTACACGTTAAGCGAGCGTTAAGTTATCCTCAGACGCTATATGTGTCTGTTTTTGCGGGAAATATTCCTTTGGGACAAACTTTCGAAAACCGCCCACGTCCAGTTGCTATAAATTTAATGCATAAATTTAATGAAGTATCTTCACCAAAATTTATGGCAATAGAGGACGTGTGGATGATTTTCTCAAGTACACCCTCTTTTTAATATAACATACAAAACGATCGATCACATCATCCTCAAAGTTGGTGAGATGAGGTAGAAGACGATAAGACAAGAAATACAGAAACACACGAGAGGGAAAAATAATGAAGATAACACAAAGATGTATAGAAGCTAAATGCAAAAAATGCCCCGAAAGAATTGTTATATCGACGACTTGGGAGATAAACACATGGGGGCAACACAGTCAATTTTATCGCAAGTATTATATTAATTTAAAAGTTATTGCTTAAGATGTTGCTCCTTCGATCGAAACGCGTTCCGCTCGCTCGCCGTCACGTTAATTTAATATATTTAATATATTTAATTAATATTTTTTCTACGCGCACGTCTACTCGACTCACGCTTTATTCGCGATCCTTTTCTCCCGCGATTATTGTTAATATATTCAATTGTTATTTATATAGTCGGAATAACAGCGTCGTTTCGTCAGAGAGTCCTTTCGGGACGCACAAAGGACTCGTTTAAAAGGCTCGTTTAGAGGACGAAGTCCTTTCAACGCGCGTCCCACCTCCGTTAAACCGTGAAAACCGATCAGAAAATTACTGTATTACGTTTTGCCGCGTAAAATCATTATTTAGAGTGCCTCGAAGCTGTTACGTAAAGAAGAGCGGAGAACGCTTTTCGGACCGTCTCTCTCTGCTCTCTCTCTCTCTCTCTCTCTCTCTCTCCTTCTCTTTCTTTCCCAATGTATATTTCGCTCGCGGCGTTCACGGCGCCGACGGCAATGTAATTCCCAGCACACCCACGCGACTAATCCTAATCCCTTTGAGCGACCTGCTCACGACGATTTCATGAATATACAAAACAAGGACAGAGCAACGAGTTTAAAGCAAAGAAAAAGAAAAGAAAAAACTAGCAAGAGTGAGAGAGAGAGAGAGAGAGGAGGAGGAGGAGGAGGAGGGAAGGAAAAAGAGCGTGCCGAGCAGCGCTGCCTTTTTCGCCGTCGAGCAACGATACGCTCGAGAGAAGCTCGCGGGTTTAACTTTCGAGGGAGATTTCCAAATGGAGCGAGAACAATTTCGCCGTTTTTTTCACCCGTTCTTCCTTTCGCGGCGACAAATGACCGTAGTTTCTTTTTCCCCTACTCTCTCGCCATCTCCGTCACCGCCGTCGTCGGCTCGAATCGCGCGATTGAATTCCGTCCTGAAGTCGCGCGAAACGTATTTAGCTCTCTCTCTCTCTCTCTCTCCCCCTCCCTCTCTCTCTCTCTTTCCTCTCCTCCCTTTTTTCTTTCCCTCTCTCCCTCCTTCGCTTTCTTGAGCTAACCGCGGTCTTTCTTCCGGAAAATTTCACCGGATTCTCCGTTGATCGAATCACCTCGATCGACGAGGCGGAATCACGGCAAATCGTACGGATATCAGTGGGCAAGGTTAACTTAATTTAGACACTAGGATCGAACAGGATTTGTTTGTATTTATATACGGTGGAAAATAAAATTTCAAATATTGACATATAAAAATGTATGTCGTGTATACGCGAGCGCGCGTGCTTACGTGTATGTATGTATGTGTGTGTGTGCGTGTGTGTATGACACAGATATTAGGGTTGATTCGGTGAAATTCGTTCATGTCCGAATTCAACAGAATTCGCACAGACAAAATGTATCTCTTTGAGGTGCATCTCTGTCTACAAAAACTGTGCCCACCCCTAATCTCGCCGAGATACAGAGAGCGAAAGAAAGTCCGCAACATTTTCGCAACTCGACGAACCTCGAGAAGCGCGTACAACATCTAACAGAGAGAATCAAATCAAGTTGACAGAGAAAAATTTTCAAAAATTACTAAAAATACAAATCCTCCCACGCGTGGAAGATATTCCAGTAAAAATTATAAATATATATATATATATTCTTTACAATATTTCTTTTAGGCAAGGCTGCACCGATATCGTAGCATGAATTACTATAGAAATAATAAACAAACGGAGGAAACGAAACGTTCGAATAATTACAATATTCTGTAGTAGAAAATCAAACATGCGTAACATTTTTTAAACATTTTTGAACAAATGATATGTAGTGATTTCAATCGATATTCGTATGCGGTCTAAGAATACAAACATTCCGCTGGAGTTTTCACTACAATACGTTCCCCGTCGTATCGGATGCGAATGCATTTCGAGACTCATCGAGGAAAAAAGAAGGTTAAAGCGGAGCATTCTCTCCGCTGATTATACAAAGCTCAAAGATAAAAAGAGCACGTGCGTGATGCCAGGACGCCGAGGACGAGCCTCGAAATGCCATTGCTATTGATTTTTCGTCTGGCCGGTGTCGGAGCTCGGAAGTGCAAGCTCGTAATTGGCACCGACATAATTAACCCCGTAGACAAACTAACCTAGGATCGCGAGCCGGGCAAATATGACGTTATAGAGGAGCACCGCTCCCCCCTCTCCCTCTCTCTCTCTCCCGCTCACGGCGGGAGATCGCCGTAGACGAGAGCATGATTCATAAGGGGAATATTCCCCCTGTGAATACAGTTCGAACGTTCAGTTATAGCTCGACCGGTCGGTCGGTGTGTGTTTCGCCGAGTGGTGCTGCGCGAGAACCATAGAATGTAGATGAGCTTATTGAACCTCAACAGCGAATTAAGCACGACAGCGAAGAGCCAGGCCGGTGGTAGATGGGGGTAATTGATGCGGTGAAAGAGAGAGGTAGAAGGAGAGAGGGAGAGAGAGAGAGAGAGAGAGAGACCCACTCCTCGAGCTATGCATTTCCGCGAGAAAAACCTGAATGAGAGAACAGCGATTGCTTCAATCGAAATACCCGCATATACGTGTGTGTGTGTGTGTGTGTGTGTGTGTGTGTGTATGTGTGTGTGTACGTGCATGTTTTTATCGTCCGTTATATTCGAGGCTGTAATTTAGGCTATTATCTTGATTTATTAAGTCACTTATTGCAGGTCATGTTTTTTCCTTTTATCGGATTATTATTTCAATTTAGGTTTTTCCGCGAGGGAAAGCTGAGTAAGTGTGTGTACTATCGATCGGGATACTCTCTCGATGTGTGCGTGTGTGTATGTGTTTATCCTCCGATATACTCGAGAATTTCGAGTTCGACTTAGACAATATTGTTTCGATTTCTCAGACCACTTGTTAGAGATATTATTTTCACCAGCTTATTGATTTGAGTTTCTGCGAACCGCTTTGTAGAATGTAACTAATTGTTAATGATTTCTCCGCCGAACCTGGGGGATCAAGCGATGAAATTAACCGCGAGAGCAACGCGCCCTCTCTAATATCTAGAGTGCACGTAAAAAATCCACGCACGTACGGATCTTAACGCGTTTATGGAACGTATAAAACGCCGGGGCGCTGAATTATTGAGGGAGCCTCCGTGTATCCCGAAATTGGTAATTCATGTATTCTGTGTTTTTCAATTCCGCGAATTCTTTGATCCTTAAACTCCGCTTACGACGCGGTGCCCCAGTTTCTACGATTATGCCCGCGATGGAATATTAACGCGCCGAGGAATTTCGGTCCCTCCTCAGTGCCTTCAATACATCGCGTCGTTTACATCCGCGAGCAGCACGACCGGGTCTCCACGTCGTCGCCGCTGTCCGGAATATTTTGCAGCGTCGGCTTCTCAAATCTCGAAACATCCGCGGACCCTTTGATCTCGCGACTGTACATGAATAAAATAGCAAGCACACGGACAAAGATAGAGACAGAGAGTGAGTAAATTTCCCATCTATCCATCTACCTCTCTGTCTCTCTCTCTCTCTCTCTCTCTCTCTCACTCTCCCCCTCCCTCTCTTTCTCTCTATCTCTGCCTGTCTATGTTTCTCAAGACTCACCTCGTACGCTCTGAAGAGCAGATAGAGCTCCCTCGGCTTAGCGTCCATCGGCAAACCACTCACGAACAAGGTGCGCACCTGAAACGGTAGAGAAAGAGAACGATAATTGAGTTAATTAACCTAATTGGTGGTGGGTTCGAAGAGGAAAGAGAGACAGACGAACACAGAGGAGAAAGAAAAACGGTCGTGTAGAAGAAGTAGGGGAAGGGAGACAGACGTGCCGTCCAGATGACTCGGAGGAGACGAGGTAATCGACTTTCTCGATTTGACTCCTGCCCTCCTGAGCGCAGACGAGTCGATGGCTGGCTAATTGCAGAATCAATGCGAGAGCCTGAGACCGTAAGAAGTCGCATTTTCCCCGTGCTCAATCCCCCCCCCCCCCGCCGCCGCACCCAGCCACCCCGCGGGCGGCCACCCGTCGTCGCGCCCGTCTTCCTTTTTAATTTCGCGATTAATTCGGCAATTTACGAGCGGGCGATCCCAATTAATTGGCGCGAAAAGCCCCCGAAGGTCTCCCTTAAAGTGATTCACGAAGAGAGATACCTTCTCTCCCCCCCGCTTAGCCGATATCGATCGTTCTTTCCGGCTACTACTATTACTGGTCGTTAGCGCCGGTGTAGCTGAATTAATGCGATATTGTTTCGCTTTCGTCGGAGAATGCAAATCGACTTTCCGTGTTTCCCGTTTGTGTTGCCGCTGCCGCTGCAGCTGAATGCCGTCATCGTGAACAATGCAGCGGGAAAGACGAGCGACGCAGCTTTCGTTAGCGAGGCGCGTTTTCGAGCGCGCATTAGCACGCCGGGTAATTACTAATCGAGCGTTCTCGAGTTGATACAAATTGCTGGTAACTCGCTCGTTTCTCGCGCCGGGAGCGCGCGAAATGTTCGTCACGAGGCGTGCGCAGCGGTGCTTTTGCGTGCGCGCGCGCGCGCGCGCGACCGTCGATTCGTTAATCCCCGCGGCTGAATTAATCGGCCCGAGTTTCGCGACAAGTCGGATGACGATGTATCGCTTTAAACGATCAGCCGAAATTAAATGTTGGGTGAGTGTAAAAATTTTGAGAGATTTAGTGACGCTGGGTGTCCCCCAGGTGACTTTATTGAAAACGATTTATTCACTCTACCGAGTAGTCGCCATTGTTAACACTGGATCAAAATCACTATATTTTCGAGAAACTCGTCAGAACTTTTGCACTCGTCTAATATTTCATGAGAACGCATCGTTTCGGAGGACCGAAATCTCGGCAACTAGAATATAATTTCACGAAACACGATGAAGTCAGAATCCGCGAATACTTAAATATTCAAGTGTGTCGAGGAGGATTTATTAATCTGAGAGCTATACTTCCACAGATATATTAATATCGACTCATTTAGGTACGCTCTTGTTATAATCAAATGAACCGCCACCAGACACTAATAATAACCAGCCTCATAACTCGATATTTTGCTAAAATGGTATTCCGTGAGATTGTCTCGGCACTCGAATTTCAATATCACGACTCTTCAAGAAACTGTCTCGTTGTTTAAATTTCGATATATTCTTTCGGCAGGCAACGCTCACCGAATAATTCTCTTGTTTACCCGCATGAGAAAAAATGCTCCCTCCGATAAGACACGTCGCGTCAAAATAATTGGCAACAATTTTTCTTCCGTAAAATAAACACTCGTCCCTGCGATTGAAGTGATAGAGAAAGCACTGCTTGACACCGAGACGACATATTCGCGCGCGGACGCGCAACGTTTCGTCAATTTTCGTTGCTTGCGACGTAATTAATGGCACACCGAGTCACCTTATCATCGAGCGACTTAGCGATACGACACTGATAAAAAGCCGCCAAACGCGCGTACAATACCGAAGCGAAGCACGTAACTGCTTACCGCGTCGCCGTCGACGTCGTCGTACGGAGCTGCCTACTAATGGATGAGACTAAGAGAGTAAGCGTAAAGTTTCGCCGAGCAAGTTACACGACCGTCTTACGTCGAGACGGGTCTTAAGTAATTGCTGCGGCAATGCACAGTCGCGCGTGCCGCTCCGTGCGCTGCGCGTACGTTGCGCACGCCCACGCGTTGCGGTGCGCCGCAGACGCGCAGGTGATCGCGCGCGTCATCTCCGGGCGGATCGCCCAGGGCCGGGCGACCTCGCCGCACAACTTATAATGATCTCCGGTGCGGAGCATCAAATTGCCGCAATGAGGTTGCGGCAATTAATAAAGTTAAGAAACACCGCCGCCCGTTGAATAAAAGTACGACGGCTCGCAACTGCCGCGCGGGCGAACATAATTACGGAGTCGAGTCGCGTGCGTTCAGCCGAGCCGAGCCGAGCCGAACCGAGCTGAGCCGAACCGAGCTCGTGTAATTATAATTATAGTTATAATTACAAACATAAGTATAATAATATAATTTTATATATATATATATATGTGTGTATATTATAAATTATATAAATATGTTAAAATATATAAATTGTAACATATATAACTATATGTAATTATATACTACAATTATATATATAATTATAACTATTCTTATTTTGAAACCAAGACGGCGCTTCGATTCTTCCGCTCGGTGGATTCTCTATTTATTAGGCGCCATTATACGTTTCTCGAAATACAAGCCTGACAGCGGCGAGTTAACTTCGAATTAGTTCTCGTTACGCGATATGACGAAGCAGGAAATGGTGACTAGACGAAAATCGATATGGGAAACACGCGTCGCGATATGCATCGATACACACCAGACAAACATCATACTGCACGTTGCAACTCGTCCAAGCGCCGCGTTTCCTGTTCATTGCGCGAAAGCTGCCAATAATGATCGCGCGTTGAGCGAAAATGTTTAGCGCTTGTGACTGTAACTAAAACGAGAAAAACAGTTTCGTTTGTGCAATTGAACTTTCCGTTCGCCTGGGAATAATAGAGATGGAAAACTCGTTTGTAAAGACAGACAGATTCTCGCAGGAAGTTTCTGATCAGTCAATTGTTTTCAGTTATATCAGGCGCTTCTGAGGCGCTGTATATTAGCGTTGACCAGTGTTAGTGGGTCATTATCCTTGTTGTACATCTAATGAGCAACAAAGATAGAATGGCTCATTAGCGTTGATATCATGTGCTCCCCAAATGCACTCTCAGCCGAGTTTTAGGACGATGTTTATAATAGCGACGGGGCGACTTCGATTCGATTTCCAGAAAAGCGAACTTTCTCTTCAAACATTGATTCTTTTCTGTGCAATTCTGGTACAAATCGATTCTTTCAAACGCAGACCCCGGTTGAATTTTTCATTTAACGAAACCACATTGACGAATAAATGTATCAACAGATCGGAACTCGGCTCTCTCTGTTAAGAAGAATCAGTTTGTGCAAGAAACGAGCAGGAAAAGATCGATTAAGAAAAAAAAATCGGTTTTTAGAGAAAAAGATTTTCTGAAGACCGAATTGAGATCACCAGTCGCTATTATAGTTCATAATTCATCAGATCCTATATATTTAATGTTGACTAAAGTTCAGCAGCAAATGATGTGCGAATTGTTTAATTAATTATAGAATACCGAAGACGAACTTAGGACAAATGTAAAATCTTGAAATGCAAATGCAATATCCAAGTATGAATAACGCGTTTAATATGCAGACTAATTCGGTCTCGGTAACGAAGATACCATTTCTCATCACCGAATTTTCATCTGATCCTTGTTCGATGTTCGCGGTGAAGTGTGATTATAATTGGGGTCATTTTTCCAACAAGTGCCATTACAGTGACAATAATTTTATACACACATCGTTATTATTACTTCTTGATTAAGACCAGAAAATACGGTCTACGAAAATCATTAATTTGGACGAGACCAATTTTCTCTCAATGGCCACGTCGATATGCACCGACATGCGCAATTTGGAATCGCCTCAGTATCTTCCACAAAATCGCAGATGACAAGCGCTCCCATGGTCTTTGAAGTGATCGGACTGTCAATTTAGACCACCTAGCCTTTCTCGCTCGCTCGAGATAAAGAAGAACGCGGGAGGGTGGCGAGCATTTATTTATGTTGCTCGGAACTCTCCGAGTTCCAATACGCGCTTGCACTTCTCATACGTACTTTGACTTGCATCATTCAAATGTAAAACTATCGGAGCAAAGCAAGGAAGTCACTTCATCTGCGGAGGAAAGTTATCGACAGTTTCCTCCGGACTAACTTGACCGAGCCGCGAAGTATCGGGACTCGGTGAACTCAAATATCGGTAGTGAAGCCGGCGATCGCGCCGAGAATGGAATGCGAGTCGCCCCTACCCTTTTTGTTCCTCTCCGCGGCGATTATGCGATTAGATCGCGAAATAAATATCCGCGTGTTGCAAGGCGGAGCAGGCGAGGCGAGGCCAAACCAATCCGCAAAGAGAATCGCGAAGAATGCGGCGAAATCCGCGGCGGGAACGATCGGTCGCCTAGTGCCTCGCAAAAGTCCGATTTTCAATTCTCTCGTCAGCGTAGCTGGCGAAGAAAATTCGCGAGATTACATATACATGTATAAATGCGGGAAATTGCGAAAGAGAAAGAGAGAGGGAGGGGTGGATTCGCGGGAACCCGATCTTCGTTTTACTCAGAGCGCGCGAAATCTTACGAGGAAGATGAGAATCCAGAGGGAATACTTCCGGGAATACTTCGAACAACTTCCGGAGTCGCCGATATTTCTTCTTATTCCAACTCTCGAGAGCAAGTTAATTAACTTAATCTTAATCTTGACGCACGCTACTACGGTTAATCATATCTCCCGCGTGTTCTTTGTCACCTTGACAAATCTATTGTTGCGTTTTCTCGAAGGAGAACTTCGATGGTTTATTACATATCTCTCTCTCTCTCTCTCTCTCTCTCTCTTCTTTACTTCGACCTACACAAGAGCAAGAGCGCATTGTTGTTCCGCTTATGAATAGTGCTCCAGTCGGTCGTCACGCCAATTAAACGCGACGCGCATTAATCAGATCTTTATCCAGGAAATTGTCGGTTTCTCATTCCTCTCCGCCTCGTCCTTATTTCATTTTTTTTTTTCTTTCCTTCTTGTTCGCATTGAAAATTCCACGCGTGCTTGTCGT